AGAGCTGGAATTCAACAAGTCTTATTTTTTTTTTACTCTCAGACCCAAAGCTATGGGCACATGCCTGTGCCTATCAGTCCTCTTCATGCCGTGCTCTGCAGAAGCCTCATGCCCCTCAGAGCCCCCACGATGGCACCATGACCAATTCTCTAGCGTTGGGGACCAAGAGCACAGACTGCCTGCCCAGCTTCAACCAGAGCGGTTCACATTTTCTCTACTTGACGTATCGAGTTTCCTGCTTTCACTGGAACAAATAGTTCTTGAGGGGAACAAAGGAGAATTAGAAACCACTACACGGGACCACACTACTTCCTAAAATAAAGCCAAAAGCTATGGCTTCTAGCCTTAATTCCATCACCCATTTGCTGTGTGATTAGAGTCAGTCCCTTCTTGGAAGGGGACGTGACAATGCTGAGATCCTTTCATGCTTTCTTACCTTTCTACAAAGAACAAGGCTAAAGGAAAAGCTCATTTAATGAATGAGAATGTCTGGATCACCTTGAATAAGATTCCAGATAAAGTTTAACTCTATCCACGGCAGCAAGTTAGGGGAGTATAATTAGTTACTGGGCAGAGCTCCGTGAATCGTCACTGCTGAATGCCTTGGTGGCTGCCTGCCAATCACATCTCAAATTAGGACTCCAAGAGCAAACAGGAGCCAATCTTTGGGCCTTACCTCGTAAGAACCAGCACATGACAGAATATAGGGATATTAGTAAACAGTCCACAGGGGTACAACCACTTACCGTGAGAGGTGTAACACATGAATATACTGATTCTCAAAGAATTCATAACAGGAAACCATGCCACACTCATCTATGGCTTGACCATTCTTAAACCAAGTTACCTCCGGCCTGGGCTGACCTGATGATAAAGAAATAAGAATACGCTGATTACTTTAAGTATTTTTAGAAAAAGTCATAAGGCTACGAACAAGACTGGGCAGTAAGCATTAGGGATGTGCACGATGGATTTCGTCAGTTGGGGAACTGAAAAGCCTCCCCTCACTGATAGAAATGTGTTATTCAGTAAACACTACTGAGCATGTTCTGTGTCTGAGACAGTCCTGTGCTGGGGGTGTGAATACAAAATGCAAAATGCTATTCCTAATCTCAAGGAGCTATTAAGAAAAAGTATCCAATACTTGGAAATAGGCAAAGATATGTATGGAATCTTTTTTCAGTGTCATACGGGGGAAAGGGCCCATCCAAGAATAATCTTGGGGTATATACTTTGTTTCACTCAGTGGTAACTACTGATTAAAATTCCCAGATGTAGTGAAGTTATATGTTAACTTGTAGGTTTTTATCCAATAGAGATGCAAATGATGTCCATATAGGAGAAAAGATAACATCTTAAGTTATGGTTTATTGCCTTATAGGTTATTAACTGGTGTTACACCTAACCCAGCAATTTTATCCTAACATTACTTTATTAAATCACCTATAAATATACCTAGCTTCTCAAGCCTTAATACTTTCTGGTTTCCTCTTTAATTAATAAGTCGAATAACATCTTTGAAATGTTCATTTCATATTTGCAAAGGAATCAGTTTACCTGTTTTGAAAATTAATAGTGCTCAAAGTTGAGTGTGTTAGTTATGGTACAAAAGAAAGAAGAGCAAAGTAGATTAACAAATGCCTTTTTTTTCCCCGAGGATGAGCAAGTCTGGAATATATGTTTCCCAGGCTGGAACTATGCACATGTGACTGATGTCAGCACAAAAATTGACCTATGCCTTCTCCCCCCAAAGGGTTCATCCTTCCCCGGTGATCACTAACAGGGTGTGATGCTGTTGGGCTAATCTGGTAAAACCCTAAAACCCTCAGGAATTTCATCTGCCCCTTGGGATTTGTTTCCCTCTTGTTACAGGGCAGAAAGGTTTCAGTGTGCTTCAAAGAACTTTCTCTTTTTAACATTTTTAAATTTTTAAAAAATTTTTTTGTAGAGACAGAGTCTCACTATGTTGCCAAGGCTAGTCTTGAACCCCTGGACTCAAGTGATCCTCCTGTCTCAGCCTCCTAAAGTGCTGAGATTATAGTATGACCCACCACGCCCAAAGAGCTTTCTCATTAGCTTCCATGTCACTGGAAGTTTATTGAAATGGGTCAGAAAGGAAAGGAACGTCCAGGATTTGGAAACAATGCATCATTCCAAATCCATCCCAGGAACATTCTTGTGTTCCTGTCTTATTTATCGCAGGATTTTTGGCAAGCGACCCCAGAGACCATGAAGATAAAAACTCTGTGTTACTCTACAAAAAAAGATACCTGCACTCGAATGTTTATAGCAGCACAATTCATAATTGCAAGGCTGTGGAAACAGCCCAAGTGCCCATCAATCCAAGAATGGATTAATAAAATGTGGTATATGTATACCATGGAGTACTATTCAGCTCTAAGAAACAAAGGTGATATAGCACATCTTATATTTTCCTGGTTAGAGCTGGAACCCATACTACTAAGTGAAGTATCCCAAAATGGGAAAACAAGCACCCAACATATACTCACCAGCCAAATTGATTAACTGAGCAGCACCTAAGTGGACAACATGGTGTACAGTAATAGGGTATTGGGCAGGTGGGAGGGGTGAGGGGGGCGGGTATATACATACATAATGAGTGAGATGTGCACCATCTGGGGGATGGTCATGCTGGAGACTCAGAGTTGTGGGGGGAGAGAAGAAAGGGCATTTTTTGAAACCTTAAAATTTGTACACCCACAATATGCTAGAAAAAAAAAATCTGTGTTATTCAAAGGCCATAGAAAGAGGAAAGCCAAAAGGGATAGGGAGGGAATAAGACAAAGTCTGTGAGACCTGCACCATGGGTGGGACCTAGAAATGCTCAGCGTCCCTGTCCCTCCCTCTCTGTGTCTCCCAGCTGGGCCACCTCTAGCCAGTGCCACCTGAATATGCTTTTGGCAAACTTCAGGTTCTTTCTCCTTGCCTCCTCCTCCAGTAGGCGCCTGGGTAGGTGTCCCTGGGGCTAGGAGCAGATAGACCCCCACACAAGGACAAATCCTTCTCCAGAGGCTGCCTGGTGGACAGAGCCTCTTACAGGCAAATGACTCAACCACCAAAAATGGGCTTTCCTGAAAAACTACCAAAGGGGTTGCTGATTAAAACTCATTTCTGCCTGTTCTTATCAGCCTTGTGTCCACCTTTCAGTCCGTTTTATTAGATGTCATTTTAGGGAGCACTTAATTGTCCCTTTTTGTGTGTATACATGACTTTTTTAAAGAAAGTATGTAAAATATGCGTGAGCCGGGCCTGGGGAACTCACTCTGAGTTCTTGGGCTTCAGACTGATCAGGGCTGGCTGGTTTCCCCCAGTCTCCTAGTGGCTGACAGGTTTTTTCCCTTGGTGCAGTGTAGGTCTGAACAATCGGCCAGAAATGGCGCTTGCATGGGGAAGTGGTATCTTGTACCTTGTGGGTGGTTCTCTTTCCTCCCTGCACTTGCTGGAAACCTCACCTGAAAATCCTCCCCTGGTTTCTTTTGAACCTACCTGTGGGTCACATGGTGACAGCCACCTCCTGAAGGTTTCAGAAGTCTCTGGCTAAGGTGTGTGGGGACCAGCAGCCAAGTTCAGGGTTATGTCCATTCACTCACATGGGGGCTCTGCTCTGAAGACTCAGGGTCAACCTGCACCTGTTCGCCTGTCTGAATGGCAATCGCCCAGCTTGGAGAGAGAAAGCTCTGGGCATGGGTGGCACACAGTTCCACCCTCCAGTCTCCAGGCTGGGGACAAGGCTTTGTTATGGCTTTGCCTTGAGGAGGGTGGCCACTTCCAACGGTGGCCTATCTCTCCGGACTTAGGAAAAAGGCGGTCAAGAGAAGAGTTTCCTGTCTTCCCTCAAGAAGCACCACTGGTGCCTTCGCATTGTCAAGAGTAGAGACATGTGACCCAAGAAAGAAAAGAGAACCACCCACAAGGTGCAAGATACCACTTCCCTATCCAATTATTTTGTTTCTATTTTCTTTTAATGATAAATCCTTTTGCTATTGGGGATACCAACATTTGATCAACTCTGAGTCATTTATTCTCCAGCCCAGAAGAGATTCCAGTCCCCTGCTCTTTGTCCACGGGGCACCCTTTGCCTCAGTTTTAACCTTTTTGCTATTTACTACCTTGCCTGAAGAAGGCAAGCGGTGGGGAGTCTCACTTAGCCAGTTTGGGCAAACCAGTTACAAAGTAACAGAAGAACAGTTGGATATATTTACTGAAGTGACATGATTCCTGCCATTCCCATGTGCTACAGGAAATGAAGAGTAACCAGTGTGAGAGTAGCCTAGCCCAGAACCGCAATGTGGAGTGGAGATCTCTAAGCCGTCCTCAGGAGTCACTGGAAGAAATCCTTTAGAAGCAAATCATGGAGGATTTAGTTGCTTCATCAATTACTCAGAAAAAAATTTCCAAGGTAATTTTCCCAAATGATGTTTTAATAATGTGTTTGTGAGCCAAGAAACCTGGTCTGCAGGGAGATTTTTAGAGGGCGAGGAGCCAGTCTAGGGATGGTTACCCGATATTATGCAGCGGAGCACGGCGTCTGACTTCTCAGGAACCTTCTGGGAAAGCAACGTAGACACAAAACACGGGGCACGCCTCTGCGGCCTTCCTGAGTCTGTCATCCTTTCATGCCACACGAATCTGAAAAATAAACCCCCCCGACACTACCGTTTATTCTGGGATTTCTCTGATCTTCTTACAAACTCCAGAAACCACACGGTGCTGCTCTGTTGGCTCACTTGAACTCAAGCCAGTGAGCAGGGTGCAAGCCCTCCGGCCGCCTTTCTCAAGTGGTGTTGCTGGCATTTGGGCCCGATCCTGCCAAATGGCCCCTAGCAGAGGGGGAGGGGGTCCCCACCATTGAGGACCGCTAGTCCTGCAGTCCTAGGCAGATCTCAGGGCAGCCAGAGCTCTGACCGAGAGTAAAGAATCACCCAAGCCTACGGCTAGTGCGATCTCCTCTCATTCCTCTTTCTTTCTCTCCTTAAAGTCGTTTCATGTTCACTAAGTAAAAGTGCCTAAGCATCTTTACCTCCAAAAAAGAGAAGTTGATTGCATTCAAATGAATCTCCAGGTGGAAGATATTTTGAAGTTGAGAAACTACTGCTCCTTCCAAACACCAGGCGGGTGCCCCAGGACAAGGCAGTCTGGGCTCACGTTTTTGAGCAGGCCTGCGTTCACTGCCCCAGCAGGCATTAAACACTTGGTTAGTCACTAGTTATGGTATTGCATTTAATCTCTTGAAACTACTCATAGGATAGTGATTAATGCCTCCTACATTTTACAGATGAGGAATCCGAGACTCAGAGAGGTTCGACAACTTGCTCAAGATCACACAGCTCAAGTGGCTGCCTCCCGGTTAGCATGAACGGGAGGGGTGGTTAGCATGAACAGGGAAGGGGTGGTTAGCATGAACAGGGGAGGGGTGGTTAGCATGAACAGGGGAGGGGTGGTTAGCTTGAACAGGGGAGGGGCGGTTAGCATGAACAGGGGAGAGGCTGTTAGCATGAACAAGGAGGGGGCAGTTAGCATGAACAGGGAAGGGGTGGTTAGCATGAACAGGGAGGGGGCAGTTAGCCTGAACAGGGAAGGGGTGGTTAGCATGAACAGGGAAGGGGTGGTTAGCATGAACAGGGAGGGGCGGTTAGCATGAACAGGGAGGGGGTGGTTAGCAGGAACAGGGGAGGGGCGGTTAGCATGAACAGGGAGGGGGTGGTTAGCATGAACAGGGAGGGGGCAGTTAGCATGAACAGGGAAGGGGTGGTTAGCATGAACAGGGAAGGGGTGGTTAGCATGAACAGGGGAGGGGAGGTTGGCATGAACAAGAAGGGGTGGTTAGCATGAACAGGGAGGGGGGGTTAGCATGAACAGGGAGGGTGGTTAGCATGAACAGGGAAGGGGCAGTTAGGAGCTGCAAACGGTGAATCCAGAGATGCTGAGGGCCCCCCCAGAAGCCTGAGCTAAGCTCTTGGTGGAAGAGGCTGGATCCCAACAGCACAGCTGAGTTGCAGAAGAGGACACCCATTTCCATATGAGTGTCAGTAACTGCTTCTTAGCCTTTTAGAACCAATACTTCCCTCTTTCGTCCCACTTTCTAGGTTGTCTGAGATACCCTGAGAGTCAGGTTGCCAGAGACAAGTTCCCTGACAAACTCTTCGAGGTTTCAACAATACCTAAAAATCTTCCGGTGAGTAGAGGGAAACGGAACCTGGGTGCAAGGCAGACGCCATTGGGGGGGGGGCTTTGCCTCAGTAGCAGGATCAGCTACATAATTTGCAGGGCCCAATTCAAGATGAAAAAGAGGGGTTCCTTGCTCTTTTTAAGATGGCGACATAGAATATTAAACGAAGCATGGGCCCCCTAGGCTCAGGCACCTGTGTGAAGATTTTGGCCCATGAGGCGGGCCCTGATTTGTAGACACCACCCTTGGAACATTCTGCCCACAAATGCTGCTAGCACTTTCCTCCGAGGCCTCTCCTGCTGCGTTGGAAGCTCCCACAGCGTTTCCTTAATCTCAAGATGTTCTGTTTAGAAATCAAGTGGGAATCATATTTCCCAAAAGCATTCCCAAGCTGCCCCTACATGAAACACCCAAGCTTTCTGAATATCAAGGTAAAAAATATATATTAATTTAGAAGACACAGTCTTCTCTTCTTCAGGAAGACTGTGTGCAGGAAGCCACTTCATGCATAGACCTAAGGTTAAACTAATTCACCTAATTGGTAGAAAGAGCAATTTCTACCAACTTTACGAAGTTTAAATTACACGGTAGCATTGAAAAGGAAGAAAACTGCTTAGGCGTGGGGCAGAACACATTAGCTGGGAGAGAGGATTGAGAAAGGAGTTTGGAGAATTCGACGGCTGCTAGGATGGGTGTGGAAGATTGAGAGAAAGACATTAAAAAGAAGAGTTTAGGCCAGGCATGGTGGCTCACGCCTGTAATCCTAGCACTCTGGGAGGCCGAGGCGGGCGGATTGCTCAAGGTCAGGAGTTCGAAACTAGCCTGAACAAGAGTCTCTACTATAAATAGAAAGAAATTAATCGGCCAACTAATATATACAGAAAAAATCAGCCAGGAATGATGATGCATGCCTGTAGTCCCAGCTACTCAGGAGGCTGAGGCAGTAGGATTGCTTGAGCCCAGGAGTTTAAGGTTGCTGTGAGCTAGGCTGACGCCACGGCACTCTAGCCTGGGCAACAAAGTGAGACTCTGTCTCAAAAAAAAAGAAGAGTTTAAGAAACTGTGCTTTGTGATTGCTAACTGGCTCCTTTTGATGTTCTTTATCAGAGACTGGAGTTGCATTTCCAATTGTTTTTGGTTATAGGACTTCTTAAATGCAGCTGTGCAGAGACTGGACCACACGGGATCCCTAGTCAATCTGCATTGTATTTCAGAGTAGAGAAAGCCCCTCTTGGCATAGACGATAAATTAGTGGCAAAGAACAACAAGAAAATTCACCTGCAAGATGGCAAATAAACACTTCCATTCCAGTTTAGTTTACAAGTACATTCTGTGCTTAAGGAATTGACACTGGTTGGTATAAAAAGCCCAGATTTAACACATATTATTTACTTACAAGTCATAATAATGTGTAATGGAAAGTTATTCCCAACTAGGTTGAAAAAAAAGTATCTAAAAAAATAATTCAAAAAGACAGCTTTTATGATACCCATCTTGCGCAAGAATGAAAATGTTTAAAGAAAACTTGGTGAGTGCTGTTGAATTATTGTAATGAACAAATGAATACACCAGCATGAGTGTGGGTCCAACAGTTCCCAGAGAACCAAGAACCACCAGGGGTAACAACTGTCCTGTGAGCCCACTCTGGCAAAACATGGTAGGAAGAAAAGGCTGTTCCGTCCACATCAGTGTTAATTTGCTCTCCACATCTTAGAGGTTCAAGCTGGTGATGGAAGCTAAGGGTGAGTATTTGATTTGAAATAAAAAGCTGATATTTCTCAGCATGAATGAACAAATAATTTGGGGGCTCAATATAAGCATATGGCAAAAATAACAACATCTAAGTCCAACTTTAAATTATTTACGATATTTCACAGCTAGTAGTATAAATTGTGTTCATGTGCTCATCTACTGTCCTGGACTCAGTACAAGGTGGGGAACAAGTGCTGGCAACCATGTAACAGTGTGTCTTCGAGTTGGAACTGCCAGCTCATGTGACTTGTTGACCCGTAGAGATGCTGATGTCTCTCCAATATCTCTCTCTCTCTTTTTAACAGCTTTAATGAGATATAATTGACATACCGTACAAGTCACCCATTTAAAGTGTACAATTCAACGGCTTTCAGTATATTCAGAATTGTGTAACCCTCACCACAATCCATTCGAGAACATTCTCCTTACCCCAAAAAGAATCCCTGGACCACTTACACTCCCGTTCCCCATTCCCTTCCCCTGCCCCACAACAACCACTGTCACCATGGACTCGCCTATTCTGGACATTTCATATAAATAGAAGTTTTCACTTAGCAGAATGTTTTCAAGGTTCGTCCATGTGGTAGCCTGTGTCAGTATTTCGTTCCTTTTCATGGCCGATGGGCAGCACTTCTTAGGGGCACCTGTGGGGCAGAAGGACGACCACCCTAACTGTCCATATTCTTAGGGATGTTTCCCCAACAAGTAGAAGGCTACATGGCTGGAAAATGCTCTCCTGACCAGGAGGCAACACAGACCTGTGGACCAAACCCAGGCTTTGTCACCTGCCTGGGACAAATCTACATGCATCTCTGCCACTTACCTGGGCAAGGTACTGAGCTTGTTTCCTCGCCTGTGAGAGGAGGTGATGATGACTTTCTAAGGATTAGAATAATGTGTGTAAGTTGCCTTGTAAGAATCTGTTGCCTGATTGGTTTTCATCATAGTAGTCAGCAGAGTGTAAGGAAAGACTTCGCTTGTTTCATCGATTTCCTTTTCTGCTGTGGGTTACCACAATGATTTTTTTTTTTTAAGTGATACACTCCTGAATGTGTAAAACTGTCTCCTGCTGTGATGCTCACCTGTAACAGTAATTTACAGAACGTGAGTCCTCCCTGCCCCATTCCTGGGGACCACTGCTATGGACAGAGAAGGAAGAAAGGACAAAAGAAGCTGCCAGGGGTCGGGCTGACGCTGAGGACCTTGTGTGTCATCTGTGACTCCTCCCTAGGTGCCTACTTCCTGACGGTGTTGTCCCACATGTGAAAATACTGACAAACACACACTATTTGACTCACATAGTCAGTTCGGTTACCACACGTCTCAGCCACAGGGCACTGACTGTACTCTGAGAAGGAAAAGGACAGTTAAGTCAGGCCACGGTTCATGTTTCGTGGCTTCTCTGAAGATGAGAACGCTTGATGACAGATTTATCGTTCTCTGCTAAAGATGAACAATCAATATGGAATCACTGGGATTAATGGAGGAGGTCGTGGTGGGCTTCACAGACAACCTTGCAAGACAATGTGTTAACTATAAAGGATGCTGCATTTGCCTCTTTTTTTCCCCCTTTTCTTTTCTTTCTTTCTTTTTTTTTGAGACAGAGTCTCCCTCTGTTGCCCAGGCTAGAGTGCTGTGGTGTCAGCCTAGCTCAGAGCAACCTCAAACTCCTGGGCTCAAGCAATCCTTCTGCCTTAGCCTCTCGAGTAGCTGGGACTACAGGCATGCGCCACCATGCCTGGCTAATTTTATATATATATATATATTTTTTTTTTTTTTAGTTGTCCAGCTAATTTCTTTATGTTTTTTTAGTAGACATGGGATCTCACTCTTGCTCAGGCTGGTCTCGAACTCCTGAGCTCAAACGATCTGCCTGCCTCGGTCTCCCAGAATGCTAGGATTACAGGCGTGAGCCACCGCACCTAGCCCTCTTTTCTTAAAATTTTTTTATGTTTTTTTATTTTTAATTTTTTTAGCTATGTGGTCCATAGCAAGTTTCTTTCTTTCAAAAAATTTTATTTACCTTTAATTATAAAGATCCTAAATGGATACATTTGTGTTCTTAAAAATACATATGAAAGAAAAGTCCCCTGCAAGCATCATTCCTCCGTCTCAATACTCTCCCAAGTAGAAAGATTTAGTATTCTTTTGGGCATTTTTATACTCATTACATAGATAATCATCTAAATATATAATTTTGTTGTATGTGTGGCATTAATGAAATATATGTATGTGGGTACATATGGTATATACTTTCATGGCAATTGGCTTATTTTACTTAATGTTAAGTTTTGGCAATCTTACAATGTCTATCCAATCCATAAAGGGCTGCATCAGTTTTTAAAAACTGCCAGATGATATTGATATCCATAGTATGGTAATACTTCACTTTACCTGCCTGCTCTTGTATTAATGTATAGCTTGGCTGGAGTGTTTTAGATTTCCAAATGTGTCTCAAGGAATGTCCTGGTACATGCTTATCCTTGGGCACATAAGTGCTTCTCTAGACTGGATACCAAGAGATGGAATTGCCAGAGAGAAGAGTAATCACATATGACATTTTAATGGACACTGTAGAATGGGGAGGGCCCTTAGCAGAATAGCAGCGTGATGTGGTCACTCAGGGCACGGCTTCCTACGCCCTCCGCCTGGGGCGAGCTTAGCTCTGCCACTCCCCAGCTCCTCTTCTCTTTGCCTCAGTTGCTTCCTCTATAAAACTAAGATAAGAGCATATATATTCATTTGGCTGTTATGAAATTTAAGTGAGTCAGTCTGTGTAAAGCTCTTCTGAATGGTATCTACGGTAAGAGCTATGTAAGTATCAGCTGCTGTCAGTGGCTTTGGGTTTAACATCAGCAACGTTATAAAAATAATGTCCTTCTCCCAAATTGGTGGAGAACAAGTAAGGCTATAGAAGAGTTATTCGAAGGTTTAAGACACTTGAATGACGCCAAGTTTTATTTTGGCTAATCGCCATCCCCCTACCCCCAAGATAGCCGGAGGCGTGGCTGCTGCCGGCAGAAAGCCGACTGTCAGCTGCAGGGATCCGGGGAGAGCTCCTGGCCCGGCCCACGAGCAGACTGTGGGTAACTAGCTCTTAGGGAGCTGGCAGGGAGGCCAGCCGTCAGAGTGCCTTCTCGGTGGGGACAGCAGGGATTAGTTCTGATTACCCAGCCTAATCCAATGGTAATTGTGTTCCTGAACTTGGCATCTCAGTTACTGCAGATTTAGACACCATACCCACTGTCACTTAATACCCAGTCCCGTGCTAGTTAGGGAAAGTACCTTCCCTAAAGCCGGCTTCTGGAAATTTGGACAGGGGGGAGGGGGTGGGAGGCAGACCATGCAGGGCGACACAATGAACACATTTTGGGTGCCTACTGTGTGTCAGCCCCAAGACTGAGCCCTTCACAGACAGGATCACATTTCATCTTCATGGCAAACCTACCAGGTGGTGGTTCTTTCCTATTTCACAGGTAAAGACTTGGAAGCTTCAGTAACTTTAAAGGGTTGACAAAGCCTAATTTCTCATAGCCTGGAAGCGATGGAGCCAAGATATGAGTCCAGGTTTGTTGGAAACTAAATGGTTCTGCTCTTTCTTGGGTATGATTTTAGGATTGTGAGAAATAGAGGCAAGAAAATAAGCACATGAAAAGATACTCGACACCACTAGTCATTGGGAAAATGCAAATTAAAACCACAATGAGATACCACTACATACCCACTGGGATGACTATAATAAAATAGCCGAATGCTCCTGAGGATGAGGAAAAGAACAAGAACCCTCCTACATCTCTGGCGGGAATGTGAAGATGGTACAGACACCTTGGAAAACACTTGAGCAGTTCCTTACAAAGTTAAACAAAAAATTTATCAAATGACCCGGCAACTCCACTCTTAAGGTATCTTCCCAAGAGAAATGAAAAAATGTATCCACACAAAGACTTGCATACCAATGTTCTTAGCAGGATTGTTTATAATAGCCAAAAATTG